CACTTGTCAGCGTCATTGGCCGTGTACCGTCGTTCCCCTCAATCCCTTTTTGTAACTGTGACGCCCGTTTCAGGCCTCGTCTGAGACGCTGCAGTGCCCTCGCTGCAGTGCCTCTGTGCCAGCCCACCCGGGTGTCTGTGGCAACTGCGGTGAGAACGTGTTCCAGTGCCACAAGTGCAGGTAGGTGTGTAGCGCCGGCCGCCAGGGCGGGCCGGACCACGGCACACACATTGAGCCGTGTCGATGCTTGGTGCTGGGGTATTGAACATTATGGGGCTACGGGGATCGAAGGCGCCGCTGTGTCCGATGGTTAGACAAGGTTTGGGTCAGTCTGTCAGTGCTACCACGCATGTCGTATGTTCTAACTACGACTGTCGATGGTCAACTTCCCCGCCATGACATCAGAGCTGACCTCCTGTAACCAATGTGTTCAGGGCCATCAACTACGACGAGAAGGACCCGTTCCTGTGTAACGCCTGCGGTTTCTGCAAGTACGCCAAGTTCGAGTACACGCTGACAGCCAAACCGTGCTGCGCCGTGGACCCGATCGAGAGCGAGGAGGACAGAAAGAAGGCCGTCACTAACATCAACGGACTCCTGGAGCGCGCCGACAAGATCTACAAGAAACTCATGTCCTACAAACCTACACTGGAGGTGAGAGACTGGTGCGACGACCAACACATCATCCAAAGCCTGCCTATTAGCACGTCAGCTACGTACCTGATGTATCTTACTGTGACTCGCCCGGTTTAACCCGTGACCCCTGACTGACCGACCCTGTCCCTGGACAGGCGCTGCTGGCCTGGGTCAGTGACCACGGCGGAGAGGTATCGGCGGCGGCAGCAGCAGTGGCTACCGACCTGGCCGCCGGCACCGCCGGATCGCACGTCAGCCGGCCCATACAGCAGGTAGGATCGCGGCGAGGGTGGTTGGCATCGGGCCGCTGCGCGACCCGTGCTCTGTCCACCGGTTGAAAAGGCTGTGGACCTTATGCTTTAATCAGCGTTTTACCATTTCATTTATTGCTACGAGAGGTTTACGCACATCGTTGGCGTAATGCGTGTTTTAAACCTTCTGATGACATCGTCCAAAAAGAAACCTCTATATTTCTGTACTTAATGATTTTCGTTGTCATACAGTGACAAACTGTCTCTTGCGGTGAATGTTTACACCAGTAACTTGTCCTGACACCCTCGGCCCTGTCCTCAGCTGGCGCAGAAGTACTGCAGCGACTGCCGACGCGACTTTGACGACCTCAGCAAGGTGATTCAGAAGGTGCTGGCCTCGCGTCGCGAGCTGCTGCGCTACGACCGGCAGGCGCACGACGGCGCCGGCACCGCGGCCGCCTCGGCGCCGGCCTTCTGTCAGGTGAGCGGGGCGCTGCGCGGGCCGGCTACAGGGTGCAGGGGCATGACTTCGCGAGCGACATACATGGGCCTGGTGGTGAGCTCATGTCGGGAATGGTAACAGAGAAGAATCTGCTAAGCTGGATAGGGGACACTTGCTGTATTCGAAGGTTATGTGATGTATGCCTTTTTTGCAACTGCTGCTCAGAAAGGTGTTGGCACTTGGCTGAATGTATCGTTTTCGACCTATCCTGATGATTGTACGATGTCGTGAACTCGCCTCTACTAGCCTGCCGGACGCAATACCACCTTCCTCTGATTCATGAAGCTGACCTACCGGCCATGTCCCCACAGGAGACCACCAGCCACGGTCGCTGTTACGGCTGCAGCAGTGCCTCTGCCGAGTGCTGCGTGACGCTGCTGCGCGCGCTGGCCACCAACCCGCGGCTGCGTGTCACACTCTGCAGCTACGGCCTGATCCCACAGCTGCTGGAGCACAACCTGCGCCGCGGCACGCCCCAGGTGAGACCGAAGGAGACGGTCTAGACACCAGAGAGCAGGCTGTGGTCAGTTGGAAACCAACCTAGGTACGAGGGTACTAGCTACGACCAGGGATCGCTCTACGGCCGTACTGATGCGGTAGCGAATCTGGCGACGTTCTGCAGGTTCTCGTGTGTCTTCCTTGTGAATTGACGTTGTCCAGTCGTCGTGCTGGCCTCATCCTGACCTTTGGTGTTCTTCTGCCCCAGAGCCGTGACGAGGTGTGCCAGCTGCTCTGTCTGCTCACCAAAGACAACCTGGCGGCCACGCTGGAGCTCAACGAGCTGATCTCGGGCCGCGTGCGGCTGGCGCTCTCCAGCGGGATGAGCTCTGCCGGCGTGGCGGCCGCCGTGCGGCACGAGATGGCCCTGCTGGCCGCCGCCGTACGCAAGGAGGACTCGTGCTGGGAGCACCGGCTCAGGTCCGTACGGTGTGCTGGTGCGCCGAGAGACTCACGGCGCACTGGAGGAATTTGAAAACTGGGCATGGAGATAAACAATCGTGTTTTGTTTTCTATTATTCAATCCGAAGCCTGGACTGTGAGGGTTTGACTTAGCTGCCTGTTACTCTCACTTTGTCTCTTTTTAATAACCGAATTTCGGTTTTGCGTTGCTGACGCTTCTGTCCCGCTCTATATGAAAGTTTCACGGCACTTCTCGCCGGTTGGAGCTCGGCGTTATTGGCGCTGCTGCTCTTTACCTCAGTGACAGGAGTTGTCATTTTATCGCCTGAGCCACGTCGTGACCTCCCTCTCTGCGCCCTGCCAGGTGCGTGGTGCGCATCTTCATAATGGCCGGCAAGGAGCACAAGAACCCGGTGGTGATCGAGTCGGTGACGCTGCCCTGCCTGAAGATTCTGCAGGGCGTCATGCAGCCGCCGGCCGACGCGGAGTCCGCGGGGACGTCCACCGGCGGATCAGCGGCGGCCGGCGGGTCGGGGACCGCGGCCGCCGCGCCCGCAGCCAGCACCTCGGCGGCGGGGGTGCCAGGGCCGTCCAAGGTAGGGCGCGGGGACATTGGGTTTTGTGACGTGACGTGGCTCCTTAGGTTCCTTTTTCATCCGAAATTAAATTGAAAAAACCGACAGCTTCAGAAGCACGAACATATAGGTGCCGGTTTTCTAGTTCTGTTCTTGGTCACGGTTTCGAGCTGTCCTTCGAACATGATTAGTTTGCATGGCTCATAGTAATTGTTTCCGATATTTTTTTCCTAGCGTGGTGGTCTTTCGAGCTCGGCCCATTCGCAGTTGTGTTTGGGCGCTCATTGTGAGTCTGTGACAGACCCTCTGGACGGTATCCCTCATCGCCTTTCCACTGCCACTTCCTACCGCCTTTGTGATGGTCGAAATAATGTCCATAGCGCACTCATGCCGGAGGTCGTGTTTATATTGGCACTTGTCTTGGCTCGCTGCCCCCGATTTTCGTTTGCTCACGTACCGAGCGGGAGCTCTTCCGATATACGGAGGCATTCATATATGTGTGTAGTATTGATGGTTCCATTTGTCTTTTCACGACTAGCTCTGTCCGCGCTTGTTTGCCCCCTTATTCCCCCGTATGTGTGTGTAACCAGTCGTGTTAATGTTTTTTTTATGCACCGGCAAACTGTCCCTACCGCCGCTGTCTGTGGGAACCCTCTCTTTTCCTTTGTGCCTGGTGCTGTGGAACAGCGGGTGTCCCGTGCCGTGTTCTGACGTCTTTCCGTGTCCGTCTGTCGATCCGACAGCCGGCACCCAGCTCTGTGACGGCCGGCGACCAGCCAGAGGTGCATCTGAGCGCCTCGCGCTGGCTCCAGCAGGCCCCGCAACACTCGTTCGAGGCATGGAGGTCACGCAAGGCCAAACGGGGCCGAGAGCCGGCAAAGGGAGCCTCGGTAGGTGGTCGAGCAGCCTGAGACTGCTGTATGAATGGACTAGGATCACACTCTGTTGTAAGCGACTGATTTTTCCTCAGTGACAGTAGGCGTGGGTCTTATTGTCTTAGTACCTGTTCCGTGGATTGCTGTGTTGCAGTGTGTTCTGTGCTCTAACCACTGTGATGATCATTGATCAGTTAGTAACTGTTCGTTACGCTCGAGTTTTACGTCTGAGGAGGTAGACTCCCATGAAGCCTCTGGTGATGTCACCGGCCTGCTGGCGGGCTGCCCTGATGCAGTACTCCTCCCTGCGGTGGGTTCCCCGAGTCACCCCGCTGACCGTCCCCCTCCGTCTGTCCGCGTGTGCCGCAGCGGTCGGAGGTGCGCGCCCTGTTCCTGATGGAGAAGTACGGCCGCCGGTGGCGCCAGCGTACCACCCAGTCGGCCATCGCCGTCACCTTCCTCGACACGTCGTGGCTGCGCCGCGTGCTGTTCAGTCCGAGCTCGCGGCTGGCGCGCCGCGTGGCAGCAGACATGGTGGAGACACTGGCCAGCGAGCCGGCCAGAAAACGACAGGTGCGCTCACCGCTCATATGGCAGACCAATTTTCACACGGCTATGTCATGACAAACTTTTGTCAAATATTTTGCAATCGAAACAGTAGTTGGGCTTAGTTTGGACTGGCACGAGTACATATTCAGTGCTCGATGTGGGACTGTAGTTAATATGTTGGCTGAGCTGCCTCATCAGATTGCGGTTACAATTGTGTTTTTGCTCCTTTCTTGCATATGTATTATGCCGTCATTTTTCATCCCGTTAACCGGTGTACCTTTGCCCGTATCGGTGACGTCAGATCCTGGACATGCTGACGTCATACCTGAGTGACGTCAGTGACGCGGGCGAGACGGCTGCCGAGTTTATCGACCTCTACCAGAAGCTGATCGCGGCCAACCACTGGAAGTACTACCTGACTGTGAGTACCCAGTGGTGGCCGCCTGCCGCTGTCAGTGCTGTCGGCCGGTCGTAAAGGCCTCTTAGTGCTGGGAGCAGCTAGCTATCGGGTACGCTACCGCTGTTGTCAACTAACTAGAAAACGAATTTTGGTGATCGGTCATTGTGAGGTGAAAGCTATTTGTTTATTGCACACAAAAAAACATCAACTTTATTCAAACAAATGAGTACAACCCTAACCACATTGGTAAAGAGACTAGTTCAGACATTTCCAGCTCCGCGCCCCTGTGAACTCGCACCGACGGGCGGTCCGGGCCCAGGGTGGGTCCGGACCGAGCGCGGTGTAGGTCGGACACGAACACAGCCGCCTTTTAGTGCCGAAAGGCTGCGAGCTACATATACATGTCGTTACATTTCTCAATGAGTTTGCGCTTTGTGCGACACGACTGTGTGATTGTGCCGGGGTACTTAGACGGTATTCTGGGCGCTGTGCGGTGTTGGCCGGACTCAGGCCGCCCGAGAGGAGACTGCTGCTGCCGCAGCCGGGGCCGGCTGGGTTTCGCGGCTCACCGCTGGCAGCCCGGACGTCCCGTGCGCGGCTCCCGGACCGGCCTTCCCGCCGGGCCTCAGCGGACAGTCTGCGGCGCGGACTGCCGGACGGCGGCGGCGGCGGCGGTAGTGACGGAGGCAGAGTCCCAGCGCCCGGCGCACACCCAGCTCAGCCAGCTGGACGGCCGACACGACCGAGACGCCGAGCAGCAGGCTGAGCGAGCCGCCCAGGTCGGAGATCAGGTCGGAGAGGCTGTAGCCCGGCCGCTCGGCGTTCAGCTGGATGGCGTAGGGCCAGTGCAGCTCGAGCACGGCCCGGTGGACGGCCAGCAGTCCGCTCCGGTTGGCCAGCAGACTGGTGACGCGCAGCTCGTAGGTGGTGCTGTTGCAGGCCATCAGGCAGCGCCGCACGCACGGGTCGTCCGACGGCACCCGGAAATCCTTGTACAGCATCCCGAGGAACTCGGTCTGGTTGGCGCAGAGCGGCAGCGAGGGCGGCGCGGCGCTCCAGGGCGGCCGGCAGCCGACCACGCGCGACCGCTCCTCCCAGCGGCACGAGACCAGGCAGCGCGGCCGCGAGTGGCCGGCGCCCGGCTGGCAGGGCCGCCGGCGCAGCGGCAGCCGGTGCCAGCGGGAGGCCCCGAGCCGCGCGCTCACCACTGAGCCGACGTCGACGGACAGGTGCGGGCTCAGCTCGGCGTCCTCAAAGTCCTTGTCCACGATGGGTGGCTGGTCTCCGGCGACGAACACGTCCACGGCCGGCCGGCGCAGGTAGTTGCTGTGGCCGTGTGCGGTGTGCTCGGCCGGGTCGCTGTGCAGCACCAGCGCCAGCCGCCGCCGGCCGTTGAACACGAGCGGCCCGCTGGGCCGGAACGTGTAGCAGAGACCGCGCCGGTAGCGGCCGGCCGTCCAGCGGCCCTGCCGGGTGGAGCCGCCGCGCGCGCCGGTCGGCCGACACTCGCGCCGGTTGCACTGCTGCACCAGGCTGGTGAGGCGCGGCGCCGCCTCCTCCCAGAACTCTGCCACTGGCCGGCGGTGCCACGGAAAGCGGCGCCAGCTGACGCCCGTGCCCTTCGGATTGAGCACGCCCCAGGCTCGCGCCACGCTCCGACTCTGCCGGTTGCTGTCGCACACGGTGATGGCTGGGAATGGGGCGTCCGTGACGCCACTCAGCTCCTCGCCCAGCTCCAGCGCCACGGGCTCGTCGAGGTAGTGACGGCCCAGCATCCACACCTGCGACAAACGAGCTCGGGCGTCAGCTGCGGCGAGCGGGCGGTGAGCGCCGCAATCTGCTCTGCTGCACATTGGACACTCCTTACTTTGTCGTACGTCTAACGGTCGCACTTGTGTGCTAATTAGAATCGTAATAGCACAAGTTCGTGGTCTACGGTTACACATATATTCTTACGAGCATTGCTTGCCATGAAAATATATGTAGTTGCGAGCATTTACTTACCAGGAATTAAACAATGAAATATCGAACGACAATTGTGTAATTTCCGAAAGAATGTTGATAGAGTGGTATGTGCGGTCTATCGCCCAAAGCCAACTACCGTGGCACCACTGCCGATGAGACCAGCCGGCGACTGCCGAATCCTCTCTCCCACCTGAATTCCGAACACGATGCTGCAGAAGATGAGCAGACTACCGTAGAAGAGCAGTCGGACGACTTTACCGACCCGCCGGGCCATGGCCGCCGCGAGCCGCCGACCGAGCCGGACCCTGCGCGACCCCGCTGACCGGGCCCGACTGGCCGCCGGCCGCGCACCGGGGGCCGCCGGCCGCGCACCAGGAGACAATGGTCGCGCCCCAGGAGACAATGGTCGCGCACCAGGAGACAGTGGTCGCGCCCCAGTGGCCGCACAAAGACCAAGGCGGCGAGCTCCCGAGCGATATTTACCCTGCACACTGGACTGCTCAGTGGCCCATGCCGCCGCTCATAAAGACAAAACGGCGAGGCATTGAAGACGGCGCGGTCTCCAATATCTTAGTTGGTGAAGGACGACCTTCAGTTAGTATCCCTTTGCCACGTGGCAGCAATTTCGATAATGCGACAGGAATGAAAGGAAGGCAGTCTGTCGTCCAGCCTCGAGTCGTTGAGCATGCGGCCTTGTATGGTATGGACTTGCCATCAATGGTACGCGTGTTAAATTGTTAAATAAACTAAAAATGCTCTTTCATTTATCATTAGTATTTTGTTGTATATCTTTATCAAAAGTATTGCTCATGTAACGTTTCATGCGGCTTAGTTGTTTGTTTTTACGGGTAACTCAAGGAAGCAATTATGCTATGTTCGTGTGTGTGTGAGCTGTGTGCCAGTGGCCCAGTACCGGTCTTGTATCTACTCATCATGTGACTGATATCATCACGTCCCTGGTTGTCTGATTGGCCTCCCAGGCCGTGTTACTGACCACACGCGTCTTAGTATGTGTGTCTGGATGTTAACCACGGGTGTGTGTCTGCCTGTGTGCCGCAGACGAAGGGCATCCTGGGCCTGTTGGCCGAGCTCATCACCAAGGAGATCGACAACCTCAACCAGCTGGAGGAGACGACGCTCAACAGCGACCTCTCGCAGGGTACGGCGCCCGCCCCAGACACTGGCCGGATGAAAACGACCCCTTCTTTGCTACCTTCGGTTCTTAATTGGACTTCTAAAAATCGCATGCTTTACACTTCAGTTGTCCTACTCCAGTCGTAATTGTCAAGAGTAATTGTTTGACTTGCTGAGTTCTTGAATCAGTTTTTCAACGATTCCAGAAAAATACGCGTTACGAGCATGCGTTTTTTATGCGTACATACGAGTACGGAAACGCGCGGTAAAACCTACTCCTGATTCACTCGCGTTTATCAAAGCAGCTCCCGCAAAAGAAGGAAAATGCGAGCCGTTTGTGCTGGCTGACTGACCCGTCCACTGACCGCCCACTCTCTGCGCTGGTGTTCAGGGTACGCGCTGAAGGAGCTGACGGAGCTGCTGATCTCCTTCCTGGAGCTGGAGTCGGTGCGCAGCCGGCACAAGGCGCCGCTGCTGGCCACCGTGCTGCACGGCTACCTATCGCTCCGGCGCCTCGTCATCCAGCGCACCAAACTGGTCGACGAGACCCAGGAGCGGCTGCTCATGCTGCTGGAGGACATCACGTCGGGTGGGTGTCGGGGAGGGGCAGACGTGGGGAGCGGTAGGGGCAGGCGGGTGTGACACGTAACTGGTTGGATGAAACGCTGGAGAGCGTGGGTTATGCATCGGAGAGTCGGCTTCAGCTCCTCCAGGTTTATATATCAGATGCAATTAAGTATTTCACCGACTGTCAGGAATATACGTCAGTCACAGCTCAGTTTGACGAGAGGCCGGTGCCGGCCTGTGTGTGCCGTTTCTCACGGCTGATGTTACGTCTGACGTTTGTTCGCGGCGTCCGGCAGGCACCGAGGCTGAGACGCGCCAGTTCATGGCCATCTGTGTGGAGACGGTGGCTAAGTACGGCCGGTCGGACGTGCGCACACCCGTCTTCATCTTCGAGCGGCTGTGCTCCATCATCGAGCCGGAGCTGAACGAGCTGGGACCGTTCCTACTCAGCCTCGAGAAGGACCCGCAGCAGGAGGACTTTTTGCAGGTGGGAACGATTCACTGGCCTCTGCAGCACGGCGGTGTGACTATTTGAACTGTAGATGTCTTATGGCTGATGTCTTCTCCCGTTGTTTTGATACGGCGGGATAAGCGACTGTGATACCGACCTATGCTAATGGAACTGTGACTGTGTCGAGGTGCTGTCTGTGGCGCCGTGTCCGTCGCCCCGTTCTAACAGGTGTATTGCTGTCCAGGGCCGGATGGTGGGCAACCCGTACCCTTCAACGGACCCGGGCATGGGCCCGCTGATGCGAGACGTCAAGAACCGCATCTGCCGCGACTGTGAACTGGTGGCCCTGCTCGAGGACGACACGGGCATGGAGCTGCTCGTCAACAACAAAATCATCTCGCTCGACCTGCCCGTCAAAGAGGTGAGTGACATCAGTCAACCGAGCGGCCGCTGACTTCGCCGTTCAAACCTGTACGGGGAGGTGGAGTTGACTAATCCGTTCCGTTGTCTATGTGTTCAGCCTCCTGTGGTGTCTGGTTGTGCTGGATGGTGACTTCCACTGTTATATTGGATAATTAGCTCCACGTTATCCAAAGCTACCCTTCTCTACGGTTCAATCATGTGTAAATGACGACCTATCCTTCCCCTCAGGTGTTCCGCAAGGTGTGGCTGTCTTATGGCTATCTCTCCCCAAAGGACCAGATGTGACCGTCTTTTCCTCTCCCCGCAGGTGTACCGCAAGGTGTGGCTGCCGTCGGCCAGCGGCGACACGGAGCCGATGCGCATCGTGTACCGGATGCGCGGCCTGCTCGGCGACGCCACCGAGGAGTTTATCGAGTCGCTGGAGACCAAGACGGACACGGACCGGGATGACGAGGAGACGTACCGCATGGCCAACGTGATGAGCGACTGCGGCGGCCTGCAGGTGGGTGTGGGTAACAGCGGCTTTACTGCAGTAGGTAAATCACTACGGATTAAGACGCCTACCCACGCCAGTCGAGTTTTACGATGAGTTCACGGAAGGTGAGCAATGGGCTGGCACCCTGGCGGTCAGTTTCTGGTCACTCAGCCCACACTCTGCAGAATGTGTCACCGGTAACGTCGCCGTCTCTCCGCCCCGGTCGTTTTCAGGAGCTGCTCCGGCGGATGGAGTACATCGAGGACCTGCAGCGCTCACGGCCGCTGCTGACCGTCCTACTGCGGCTGACCGGGCTCTGTATCAAGACGCGTCAGAACCGGGCGGCGCTGACGCGTCCCGAGCTGCGCGCCGTGGCCGTGATGCTGCGGCTGCTGGCGCTGTGTCTGAAGGCGGACCCGGAGCTGGTGGCCGGCCCGCCGGGCGGTCCCACAGTCACCCAGCAGCTGCTGCAGGTCAGGCGGCACGCCACGGCGCTTCACCGGGACCCGTACCTGCAATACAGAACCTATGTCACGGTCCTGCTGTCAATACTTACCGAAATTGGGACCCGCGGAAACAGTCTAGCTATTCGTTCGTGTAACGTGTAACTAGTCGCGCATTTCTCGACTTTTCGTTTGGTATGAAGTGGCGACCGTCTGATACGCTGTGACCGCTGATCACCCCGCCTCGTCCGTGCAGATAATGGCCGTGGTGCTGGCCGAGGCCACCTCACTCGACCTGGACGAGTACCGGCGGTTCGCCTCCACCTGCGGCTCCGTGGAACAGATCCGGCTGCTGCTCTCGCACGTGCACATGGCGCAGGTCAGTCAGCTCGACACCAGCGGCCGCCTGAGGGTGCGGCACGAGTCTCTCGCTTAAAATAAACAATTCACTGTTCAGGAAGCCACCGCAATTATTAAGCTGAATCGCGTATATGTCAAATAAAGGCACGCAACGCGGGTCGGAACCCGGCACTTCTTCGAAAGCCATGGCGTGCGCCTCATTCGCATTGATTTTTGTGTCCGTTCGCAGAGTAAAGGCGCTGGCGCACTGCTGCAGCAGCTGATGCGCGTGCTGCCCTTCCTGACGTTCGGCTCCGAGGAGAAGATGCGCCTGCTGATCGACCACTTCCAGCCGGTGCTCGACTTTGACGAGTTTGACGCCAGCCAGCCGGCCGAGTCGGCCGCGCTTCTCGAGTCGCTCTGCGCGCTCACCGCCGGCATCGAGACAAACTGCATGGGCAACCAGCTCAAGGACATGTTTGTGGCCGCCGGCGTGGTGGAGCGCGCGCTCACCTACCTGCGACAGCACGCGCCGCCCGGCAAAAAGGCGCTGCTTAACACCAACGACGAGCAGTGGAAGAGCTTCCTGTCGCGGCCGGCGCTGAGCTACGCGCTGCGCATCCTGGCCGGCCTGGCGACCAAACACGAGCCGACGCAGCTGGCCGTGGCCGCCGAGAGCATCCCGATCATCCACCGTCTGGAGCAGGTGTCGTCGGACCAGCACGTCGGCTCCCTGGCCGAGAACCTGCTGGAGGCGCTGCGCACCAACCGACAGGTGGGTAACAGGGGCAGGGGACGGGCACTGGTGTGGGGAGGCCGTTACTGTGAACAGGTCTCGTCGGTAAGGTGATGGGGGCCTGCGAAGAGAAGCGTGAGAGATGGAGGACATTGAAGGGTTGCAGCTACATGCTCGGTAATTGGCAGGGTGTGTTTATCACGAACGGGGTAGGGCAAGCGACGGGAGGACAGAGGGAAGCGTCACCA